GCAGGCCTATTCTGTAACTTTTTGCGTTATGAATTTGCTAACGAAATTTGCTTTATCCCGTAACGCATGATTCTTACGAATGGTATTCTATAAACTATGTTCGCGTTTTGCTTTATGAGTTGTCCGTCGCTCGGGCATCTTCGGTAATATAACGCAAAGCAGAAAGAACTAGGGAGAAATAATGACGTATTAAACTGTGATTGGTCGATTTCGTTAAGCTCACATCCTACATTATGGCTCCTGCCCATTGGACGCGCGGCAACGTTACCGCGTCCAGTGGGCAGGAGCCATTATTGCGAAAGTTTTCCATAACCTTAAAGAAGAAGAAGATATATACAAAAAGTTCCGTCTGGGCCGTCGAGCGGTTCACACGTCTTCTGACGGAAGATAAGTTTTTGATCCTGCGGGATTGCATCATCCCTCGCGTGGCCCGGTTACCGGGCCATTGCATCGTTCAATTCACTACATTCCAAGCAATACCATTAAGTCTATTGGTTCGACGTGGCCGTGTCGGCTCAGTGTCTGTGAGCCGGGAGCCAATAACCAGAGAAGAAGAAGAAGATATATAAAGAAGGTAGAGGTTATATTAATAATATATATATATTAATAAACCATTCATCTTACATCTTATTGCTAGTCAAGCTCGTCTTTGATCTTTTTCTAATTTAGATAGATATAACTGCAATTTAATTAAGATTATGTCTACTATTATGTTTTAGCATGGAAGTAAAAGTAAAGAAAACAAGAGCTCCAAAGACAACAAATAAGCAATTAGAATTTTTAATTGCATACATGGAAAATCATACTGCTTTTGCCACAGGCAAACTATTAACAGCAAGGGGAAAAGCAGTCCACGATGAGCAATGGAAACAATTAACCGAAAATTTAAATTGTTTAGATGGACCATCAAAAGGAATAGATGGCTGGAAAAAAGTAAGTTTCATTTTACAAGAATTTATAATTTTTCTCCGCATTATTTCTTGTTTTTAAACTTACTTTTTATTATAAATATAATATAATATTGCATATATACAGCTGTGGTGTGATCAAAGGAATCAAGCTCGAACTAGGGCAGCAAAAGCTAAAGCAGCACAGAAACTTACTGGCAATACCGGAACTCCAATTCAATTAAAAGATTTTGATTTACGAATTTTATCTATTTTTGGAGGTGAATCATCTATAGGTTTACCCGTGATGGAAGTGGGACTTGGTGAGCGGCCTGAGGTTTGTTGCTTTTTATTCAAAAATTTGTGTAAGAATCTTCTTCCCTCCTGTCGTTTACGTCATCGAGACTTTCTTGTGCAATTTGAAGTTGAATTATGCTTTCGTGCGTGCGTGCGTGTGCGTGTGCGTATTCACAATTCCCGATATTGTAATTAAATTTTTTAATTTTAATTTATATTGTAAATATATTGTCTGTCTATATAAACAGGATATTACTGATCCATCGTTGCTGTTAGGACTGACATCAAACAATATTTCAGAAGCAAATGAAAAAGAAAATGTTAGTATTAGTATGTTCTAATAATTACAATGCAGTTTATTTAGTCGCTGTACATTCTGTAATTCCTTATTAAAGTTGTGTTTTTATTTAGGAAGCAACAATAACGAGGGAAACTAGAAATAACAAAGATATGTATTCATTTCCTTTGTGTGAAGAAGATTCAGTTTTACTAAATATTAGTAACGAACAAACATGTCAGACCAGCAATTTCAATAGTGCAATTGATATTCGTGACACTGATAAAATTGGTACCAGCAATTTGTACCAACATACGACAGTATCTCAAACCTCGGAAACAGCCTCGAAACAACCATTGTTAACATCAAATATACTAACTACCCAAAATAGCAGTAAGTACAACAAATTTACAATATATATATTTTGATATATGTATAAACATATCGTTTTATAGGAAAACGTGTGAGAAGTGAGAAGATAGATGAAACACAAATTTATCTCAGACATACGCAAGACAAGCAGAACGAATGTTTGCAAGTAAGTAATAATTTACTTCTTTGTGCATTTTCTATTTCCTCAGAATTATATATTAGTAGATTGTATGCTAATTTTATACGCGTGCACTAGGATAATATTCTAATTACATTTTTATATTCTAGACAATGGTTGGGACTTTAAATCGTATTGCATCTGCAACAGAGGAACAAAATGAACTTTTTAAGAGATTCATAACTTTGCATGAGCAAACAGTAACAGGTTTATCTACAATGGTTGAAGTTCTTAATAAGAGAACATAAGAATTAAGTAAGGTTTATTATATTTTATATTTTATTTTTGTTTCTTTTTCACAAGAGTTTATATAGCAAATAGTTTACATAGCAAACGTCGCGACTTCGGAGAACGTTTAATGACGACAGCTTAAATCTTCGGTCGTTCCTACAATAATGTGAGAGAAGCCCGATCTTCACTTTACTTTTTCTACGTAACGAAAGTTACACCTCGGCCTCTCTGTCGCGTGAAGGAGCGCGAGTTTGCATTACGCGAATCCTAGGATAATTTATTAGGCGACAATTTAATCGATCTGAATGCGAGAAGCCTGTTTTTCGGGCCTTTCACACGAGAGCACGACGTATCGATTTCGTAGGTAAATAAATATTCGGTATCCCTCGCTTTTAATTGTTACAACTGTATTTATAGCGTTTCTTGACAAAGATACGTCTTGCTAGTTTTGAATCGTCCGCTTTCTTGCCGAGTTTTTCTGCCAAGCGATTGGAAGAATAGCTCGACTTTAAGTGCGTGAGAATGTCTCGTTGAATGCGGTTCAACAATTGTATACTCGGCACAAAGAAAGTTGCGAGTGCCTAGATCAAATACTTAAACGAATAGCTATCCGAACAATCAAACTCTAAGTTACACAATTTAATTTTTATATTTTATTTTTGTTTCTTTTTCACAAGAGTTTATAATATATAAAAATATTTATATATTATATATACGCAATTTATAAAAAGATTATATATAAAAATACATGTTACAATACAATACATGTTATACAAGTTTGTTAGACGTATTAAATGTGTACAATGATAAAATAAAGCATGTTTATCTGTGAAAATTATCTGTCATCTTCACGTAAACCAAATTGATTGCGAAGAATTCTCCTTTGTGTTCTTCTTGCTTCTATTAATATATTTCCGGGATTTAAGTGCATATCATGAATGTCAATTATTTCTTGTGCCTGTAATCTAACACGATTACATGCTTCGAGATTCTCTGGAAGCATGGCTCTTCGTATAGCTTCAGCCTCACCCTCTTCATCGATATCGAAATCTCTATTCATAAGTTTATAATGGAGTCTGATATTGTGAAGTACAGCACAAGTTATGACTATATTTGATACTACAATAGGTTTATAATGTAGCACACGATGTTTAAGAAGACATCTCCATGTGTTCTTTAACACTCCAAACGTTCTTTCAATACAATTTCTGGTAGATGAATGGCATTGTGTATACTGTGCTTCTGCACTTCCTTCTGGGGCATTTGTAATCGGTGTCATCAGCCAAGGTTCCAAGCCGTAACCTGAATCGCCTATCAAACATTTTTTAATATACATCAATATAAAGTAACATTATATATAATAAATAAAATAATAAATAAAGAATTTTGACGCTAACCCAAAAGCCATGTTGATCGATCTCCAGAATTATATAAACGTATCATTTCGTCTCTTACGGCAGAATTTTTCCAAATAAAACTGTCATGAACACTTCCCGGAAATCTGGCGTTTATACTTAATATTTCTAAATCGTGTGACGAAATCTGTTAACATTATTAGTATGCAACATCAAAGATTTATATTGATCGTATCTGGCTATTTTTAATTTATTGGAAATGTTATTTTTAGTAAGTCAACTTACTGCCTGCACATTAAGAGAATGGAAACCTTTATGGTTTGCATAAGCTTCTTCGTGATTTGTTGGTTTTATAATGGCAATATGAGTACAATCAAGACAACCTATTACACCTTTAAAATTTCTTTTTTCTTGAAATCTATAAGAATATATGTCAAAAAGCAATATTATGATATAATTATAAAGTAATAATGAGATCTATAATAAGTAATAATGAGATCTATTATAAGTAATAACGAGATCTATTATAATTGAATATATACAAAGAATGTTACCTTTCTTTTAAAGCTGTTCGCCGCTCCTCTGTTCTTGGAAATTTTATCCATTCATTAGCCAGTAATTGAGTAACCCCTGCTGACACTGCTGTTATTGCTCTGCTAACAGCTGGTTGTGATATAGATACCAAGTAATCGTTACCAACACCTTTCTGATAGGAGCCAATTGCGAAAAATCGTATTGCAGCTAAAATCTGTAAATTATAATTTTTAACGCATTGATATTTATTGCACTAGTGTGTATATATTATAAAAGATACGCTATATGTATTTTTTGGTCATAGTTGAAATATATAATTACCTGAGTTTCTACACTTAATCCACTTCTTCGTCTGCGCTGCAGATGAGGTCGAAGAACATCACATAGATAATGAATCGCTTCTTTTGATAAGCGAAAGATTCTTATAAATTGATCATCCGTCAAATTGAATGGATTAATTGTGTCTCTTAATTCCCTCATTACTGAAGCATTTTCTCTCATTGCTATCTCTCTCTCTTCCCTTTCCTCTTCCCTAATATTTAATATGGATAAATGTTTAATATGTTTCACCTCTCAATCTCAAAATCTGGTAGAGCAACACGCTTTTACCAGATTCTTTCATTTAGTGCAAAATCGCGCTGAATGAGCTAATTTCATCGATTTTAGAACAGTGGCCACTAAATTGAATATTTACCTTAATAATATGTTTAAGAATATTCCAGCCATTTCTTTTGTGCAGCAATAACAATTTCTAAAATATTAATAAAATACTATTATAACTTTTATTTTCTTGATAAAACAACATAACCAAAAAGTACGTTTTTTACGTACTTTTTGGTTATGTTGTTTTATCGTATTTGGTTATGTTGTTTTATCGTTTTGTACGTACACACACGTATTTCTATCGCGTAATGAGATTTTAACACTTCCTAATAGCCCGCGTTACGGTTGCTTTATATAAATCAAAGGAACGTATCACAAATTGCGTTGAAGTAGCGTACAGAATACGATTCTATAGTGATAAATAGCATAACGCAAATTTAACGCTAAAATAACGCAACGTTATGGACGTCATGCGTTAAGATGCATTTACAGAATACGAAATCATAACGCATGCGTTACAAACCCTATAACGTATGCGTTATAGTCATAACGCATGCGTTAAAAAGTTACAGAATAGGCCTG